GCCAACACATAAATAAATGTAATAAGGGTTTTTTTTTTTTTAAGTTAAAGAAAGCAAATTAGACGTTGTGTAGTTTCTTTGCTTCTAGAGGTAACAGTGTGGTGCAGTGATCACATAAGCATTTTTTTCAGGTCCCTGCCTTTTGTGTCTATCATGTGGGTGTTGTAGGGTGACTGGCAATCTCTCTGAAACTGTGCTTCTTTAGATTTATTCACTGTTCTATTCCCAGCACCTAGCAGAGCCTAGAATGAGAAAAGTGATACCTAGCAAGTAGGTTTCCAAGATCTTTATAAATTCTGAAGTGTGATTTGATGTTAGTGATTATTAAAATACTTGTTCCAAATAATGGCTGAAATCTTCTATGCAAAAGTAATTAAACCAGCTAGTTCTTTAGGGAAACTGTTTCTTAGGATTTCAGCAACTCTGTTGGGAAATGTCAAGGACTGTCCTAAACCCCAAGTCCCATGTTGTGAATTCAAGACATTCCAGATTTCTCAGTGCAGATGGATAAGGCTGTTCTCTTCATTTAGGAAATACCTCTTATTGTAGTTTCTCTTTAGTCTTGTTCTTTAATCAATAATGTTTGTTTTTATTTTTTATTTTAACATGGGGAATTTACCGCCCAGATCCAAAACTGCTTAGAAAAGGCCATTTTTCTGGCTCTATATGAGGCAGAACATAGCAGGCCTATAGTGTTCTGCTATGTCCCACTTTAGTTCTTTAGAAAAAAAGATTATATTTAAAATTAATATTCCCTCCCTTCCTCTCTTCCTCCCTTTCTTTGTCATAGGGTCTTGCTATGTAACATGGTCTAGCCTCAAATTTTCAGTTCTCCTGTTTCTGTGCTGGGATTATAGTTGTATGCATGTGTGTATACATGTTCTTGTGCATGGGTATACATGTATGCAGTACATATACATGTGGAAGCCAGAGGTTAACCTGGCCATGTTCTACTTTATTATTGAGGTCTCTCCATGAGCCTGGAGTCACATTCCAGCCAGTCTAGTTAGCAGGTTTCCCTTGGGATCTCATCCTCACTTCCCACGTTCTGGAAGTGACTATAAAGACAGACAAGACTTATGGAGAAATAGTTAGGAAAAGGCTGATTGGAGGACTGCAAGGAAACTGGAAAGTATTGCCAAAACCTAAGCCCATGTAATCTCAGAGGCAGTGGTCAAGAAAGCACAGTTTTTGTGAATATAGTTTGAAGGTACTGGGAATGTTTAGCTTTGAGAAGATATATTTCAAATTCTGTCTGGGGGAGATGGTTTTCTGAATCTCTAAGAGACTGTATTCAAGTTTGGAATGGAATAATTATTCTTGTTTATTTTACTTGTGCTCATATTTGTTCATTCATATGTTCAGTATTCCATTTTTATTACCCATTCTTTGCCAAGAATGGATTAAGGGATTAACAAATATGTAGGATAAGAACTTTGTTCTTAAGGGTCCATAGTCTCAAGTCTAGCTGAGAGTGGTGAAAGGGGAGGCAAGTGTGCAAACAATAATTGCAGGGCAAGAATGACAGAGACAGAACTTACCTGAGAACTCTTTAAATGATATGAACAAAGGTAGACTAGGCTGCCTTTTTAGGTTATAGATATCCTACTGCTGAAGGTTTCAAGTATAGGTAGGATGACCCAAACTGGCATCATGTGGCACAAGTTTTCAAACATTAGATTCCTAGAGTTTTGGTTAATCTACCTGTTCAGATCTCTCCCCCCTCTCTCCTGGAACTAGCTCTTGTAGACCACGCTGGCCTCGAACTCACAGAAAGCTGCCTGCCTCTACCTCCTGAGTGCTGGGATTAAAGGCATGTGCCACCAACACCCGGCAAGACTTCTCTGAAACATGATTAAAATGACTAAGAATGAAGGAAAATATATATTAAGATGGTGTGAAGCTTTCCAGACATTATCATGGCCTATGGCCGAAATGTGAGTTACATTAAATGAAGCTGCTTGTTGAAGGCTTGGGAGGCCAGGGAGAACCTGTTTTTTAGTAGGTAGCTGTGGGAGTTTAATTTTGGAACTGGCAGCCTAGAGTAGGAGGGCATTGCCAGCTATGGCACTGGATGCTTTCTTGGAAGAGCTAAGGAACCTGAGTTAGAGCTAGAAGAGAAGGCAAATATAGTCGTATCTGGGAAGTGAAACTAGAAGAAATAAATGAAAAAGCAACTACCCAGAGAGACAGTTTGGATTAACAGAAGTATCCATACATGTTTTGATATTGTTTGCTCAAAAAGGAAAGGAGCTATTAGTTTGCCATAGGTTGGTCAAGATGAATTTTTAAAACTCCAATTAAGTTTGACTTTAAGATTTTAATTAATGAAGAGAGAAATCATTGACACAGAACTTGACATCTCCCTGTTCCTTGCTCCTCCCTCTCTTTCCAGTGTGTATAAGAATATTTGGTGAGGGCCAGGTGTGATGGTACACACTTTTAACCCCAGCACTTGGGAGACAGATCTTTGTGAGTTTGAGGTCGGTCTGGTCTGCATAGTGAGTTCCAGGACACCCAGAGCTACAAAGTGAGACCCAGTCTCAAAAACCAAAACAAAATAAGAATATTTGATGAGCTAGCAGGCACTGTAACTTAGTGATAATGCCCAGAATTATGTCCCTAGCACTAGAAAGAAAGGAAGAGAGGAAGAAAGCTTGGCAAGTTCAGAGATTTCTGAGGTATAAATTTAGTTTATAAGGCCAGTTGATAGCCTACTGTAAAGGACTTTGAATTTCATCTGTACTAATAAATTCTTTTTAAGGAAGTACATATGTCTATCTTTCTGTAAACTGTATTAATTAACATGTATCTACTATAAGTTAAAAGGTAAGGCACTGTTGGCCTGCAAAGATGGGAAAGTGGTTCCTGGGAAAGATATCTATAAGTAATTATAACAATACAAAAATATGTTAACCTGGAAATAAACACATTGCCTTGGAGCATAGAGAAAGAGTACCTATCATTTTGGAGGTCAAAACATTTTCTAAAGGTGCCATAGAAGTAACAGAACTAATCCTCAAAGGATGGGTGAATTCACTGTTTGATTGGGAAAATAGGCAGATGAAACATCACGTGTAAAGGGACAGAGGTGTGAAAATTATGGCATTTTTAAAGAAAGAAGATGATATAGCTAGACTGTAAGAGGAATTAGAAGGAATGGTAGTGTGACTGATGAATGTCCCTGGTCAAATAAGAGAAGGCCTCTTGAAGTCACTAAGGAGCATTAGCTTTTATTCTGGCATGTCAGTGAAGGAGTTTAAAATAAGAAATATGTTTCTTTGGATGGCCCCTGGAGAAACCTCTGAGGAAAAAGAATCAGGGTGGAAGAAATCAAAGGTTTTCCATTTACTAGAGAATATTAAAAAGATTATTACAGAATTTTACAAATTTATAAAAGCCATTTTATTGAATATAGTATTCTGTCAAGAGTTCTCTCTGTGTCTAATCTTATTAATAGAATGGTAAATTTATTGCATTTTAAATAATTGATTTCTGAAGCAGTGTTATTCAAATCTGACTACATTGAGGTTATTTATTTTCAAATTATAGAATTGTAGACTTCACCCAGGCATACTAAATCAAGGTTATGGGGTGGTAGGCCCTGGCAATCAATTTCTAAAAGTGACTGGTGATTGTTATGTAGTTTTTTGGAAGCTTTTCTGTTTCTGTCTTTTTTTTTTTTTTTTTCTGAGACAGGATTTCTCTGTATTGTTTTGGAGGCTGTCCTGGAACTCACACGGTAGACCAGGCTGGCCTTGAACTCACAGAGATCCACCTGCATCTGCCTCCCGAGTGCTGGGATTAAAGGTGTGTGCCACCAACACCCCAGTTTTTTTTGGAAGCTTTTAATTTCTAAAGCACTATTATGTCTAGCTCCAAGGAGACTATATTCTAAGTAGTTGTAACTAAAGATACAATTTCTACCATTACATGCATTAATAAGTAGACAATATAAATTCTGGACACATTCATATCTAACTCGAGCATATTTTAAGGTAGTAATACTTGTTTTCAGTAAAACCCCTTGTTAGCATATCATGGGTATTTTCTTCTTTTAAATTTTACTCTATTTTCCAAAAGCATGGGAAAATGTTAATAAATTAAGCAGGATGATTGCTGCCTTGAACATTGTATATTTAGAATTGGATATAATTTTGGAAGAGGGAATATCCAGAAGAACTGATACAAGGGCAGACCCTTTCTTGTGAAGGACCGAGAGGTATAAGTACTATAGGTTTTTGGGCATATGATCACGGCTTTGATAGGGTAACCTGAAAAAGGGTATGGGTTAATATGTAAATGAAGGAATATTGTTTTGTTCTGTAAAGCTAGCTACAAGAACACAAGTTTTTCTGACAGTTGGTAATAGTCTCATCTTTACAGGGAAAGAGCAACTTGTCTAAAGTTATAAAATTAGATGTCAGCAAACTCAATACATGGAATGCTGCTGGAGGTTTTAGTTCAGTGGTTCTCAACCTGTCAGTTGTATATCAGATATTTACATTATGAGTCATATCAGTAGCAAAATTACATTCATGAAGTAGCAACAAAATAATTTTATGATTGGGTGTCACCACAACATGAAGAACTGTGTTAAAGGGTCACAGCATTAGGAAGGTTGAGAATTACTGTTTTAGTTCATGTAAGAGGAATGAATGGAACCAAAGAAGCTATGGAATTTCACTATATGTAGTGTTACTGTATTTCCCACTGAGTTTTGCCTGGTCCATGTTTGCTTTTCAACTACAACATAGTTTATATCTTTTTTCCTATAGACTCTGAGGTAAGAGAATGCAGAGCAAAGCAAAATCTTGGTGAATTTTTAGCTGTGTTTGGCACACAGTGTAGATTTACATCTGGGTTACTGACTAAAAAGGCTAGCAGTATTCATGGCTAGCAGCAGAAGGGTTATAAAATTTGAATTTTAAAACATTTTAAATATGTATTTCCTTGTGCTAAAAAAACGAGTGTTATTATGTTCTTTCCTTTGATTCTAGTAGCTGCTGCTGGTGGTGGTGACAATGTCAAATAACGGCTTAGACATCCAGGACAAACCCCCGGCCCCTCCCATGAGAAACACCAGCACTATGATTGGAGCTGGCAGCAAAGACACTGGGACCCTAAACCACGGCTCCAAACCTCTGCCTCCAAACCCAGAGGAGAAGAAAAAGAAGGACCGATTTTACCGATCCATCTTACCTGGAGATAAAAGTATAGTATTTAATTTATTTTCATAATTTTTGTGCTTTAAGAAGAAAAAACAAAGCAGACTATCGTTTCCCCTTCTAATACTCTAAATGAAAAATCTGGCCTCCCCCCTGACTTAATTCTCCTTCAGTACCTTTAATTTTCTATGTCTTGCCTTCCTAAAGTGGCTAAAGCCAAATGAAAATTAGACTTATTGTTCAGAATTATACTTGTACAGAATTCTAAGAATCATTTTGTTCTTGCTAGCTATCAGACAAATTGAAGGCATTGGTATGTATGTATTTCTTTTCTTTTTTAACTTTTTTTTTTTCCCCAGACAGGGTTTTTCTGTGTAATAGCTCTGGCTGTCCTGGAACTAACATAGATCCACCTGTCTCTGCCTCCCAAGTGCTGGGATTAAATGTGTGCACCACCACTACTGGCATCTTTTTTTTTTTTTTTTAACTTTTTTAAATGTTTAGGAAATCACAAAACCTAAGGACTTTTGAAATGTCTTTGGAATTTTCTTTTTCCCAGATTGTTTTTACTTGGAATGCCCTCTTTGAAAATTTTGATCCCCTTATTTTTTGTCTAGATCTCTGGTTCCACTCTTAGATTTGGGAACTTAGTATCCATAAGGAAGGAATGGCTGAGCAAAGGAAGCAGAGATAAATAGGAATCACTGTGAGTAAGACTTACTAGGCAACCTCATTTCCTTTGTTTTATTTTGTTTTTTAAAGACTAGACCTCACTCTGTAGCTCTGGTTGGCTGTAAATGCTTGCTATCCTCCTGCCTTAGCCCCCAAGTGGTGAGATTACTGACATAAGCTACCATGCCCACCTTTCATTACCTTCTTAATAAAACTTGGAAGAATATTCAAAATCTTAACCATGAATCTGAAAAAGTCACTGACGTCATTTCAGACAAAGTAGTGGACACATAAAAGTTTGAGTGACCCCATGGATTTTGCTTGACACACAAAAAATGCTAACTTAGGTAACTGTTGGCCTTAAGTAAAGTTCTTAGATATCCATGTAGGGGGCTCTTGTTGTGGCATGGCTTTCCATCTGTGAATGGTACAAGCTTCAGATGCACCTGATTTACTACCATCAAGAAAATCAAAGGGTAACTGCAAAACAAGAGACAGCTTTCTGAAATTCTATATCTTGTAAGGAACTTGACTCACAAATACAGAAAGAACTACTAAAACTTAACTAAAAATCAGATAACTCAGTTTAAAAAATGGCCAAATAATCTGAATTAGACATCTCTCTAAAGAAGATAGACAAGCAACAAATTAACATATGAATAAATATTCAGTTACCATTAGTTGCCAGGGTGTTGTGTGATGTTTTTGCTCTTACTCTTTGGCTTTTTTGGGAGGCCTGCCACCCAGCTCACAAATAAAACACACGGACCTTATTCTTATAAATGCCTGGACTTAGCTTGGCTTGTTTCTTGCCAGTTTTTCTTAAATTATCCCATTAACTTTTTCCCTTTGGGCTGTTATCTTGTCTTAACTCCTGTGTACCTTACTTTCACTCTTACTCTGTGGCTGGCTGGGTGGCTGGCCCCTGATGTCCTCTCCTTGTTCTCTTGCTCCTTTCCACATCCTCGTTTCTCCTATTTATACTCTATGCCTGCCAACCCCACCAATCCTTGCTCCTGCCTTGCTATTGGCAATCAGCTCTTTATTAGGACCATCAGGTGTTTTAGACTGGCAAAGTATCACAGCTTCACAGAGTTAAACAAATGCAGCATAAACAAAAGTAACACATCTTAAAGTAATATTGTACCACATTTCCTCCTTATCTAAAAAAAAGAGAAGGGTTTCAACTTTAACATAGTAAAACTATATACAACAAAACAGTTATTAAATAAGAATTAATTTATAATATTCTGTCCATTTGTAGTTAGCATATTCAGAGAAAATAATGCATTATCTATTCTTAGTGAATCTGAAGTTTTATATCTAAGAAAAATTGCAACTATAACTATCTAGTATTCAACTCCATTAAAGGCACCAGAAGGATATATTACTTAAATAAGCAAAAAGTGCATTGCAAATGAATTCCATAAACTCTAGAAATGACAGAGACATCTGACTGCCTGGACACCATGGAAATACAAATTCAAACTACCACGAAATGCCACTCCACACATTAGGATGGCTATAAAAAATATGGATGATATCAAGTGTTGGTGAGAATACGGAGGTATTTGACCCTTATAATTGCTGGTAGGAATGTAAAATGTTACAGCCTCAGGGAAAAGATTCTGGCAGTTCTTTAGAAGCTTAAATATAGAAATATGTTACTACCCAGCCTCATTTTTCATTATACCCCAATGTGGGAGCAACCTAATATTAAAGGTAAAATATAACCTCCATATAATGAAGAAAATGTCCTGAGCCATACTGCACCTATGGGTGAACCTTAAAAAGTGTACTGTGTTAAGGAAAAGACCCAGTCACAATGGTCACATAGTGTGTGGTTCCATTCATGTGAAATGTCTAGAAATGTAAATCCACGAGTAAAAGCCATGTTAGTGGTTGTCTAAGGATGTAGAATGAGTAAACAGATGGGATTAAGGGAGTGATGGCTAAGAGATAATGGAATTGCTTTTTGGAGTGATGAAAATGCCTTAGATTGTGGTTGTGTTTGTCCAGCTCTGTGAAAATACTAAAAGCCAATGATTTTGTACTTTATAGGTGAATTATAGTAGTATGTAAATTATGCAGCAGTAGAGCTGGTGCATGTGTGTGGTGTACACGGTGTGTATGTGGTGTATATGTGTCTGTGGATAGTATGCTCATGCACCTGTCTCATCAGAGGAGGACATTCTAATATATCACATTCCACTTTATTCCCTTTGAGAAAGGTTCTCTCACCAAACTTGGAGCTAGGCTAGCAGTCAGCAAAACCCAGCAATCATCATCCTGTTTCTGTCTCTCCAACCCCACCTTCCACAATGATGGGGTTACAGATGCACATGGGCATACTTTGTTTTTGACATGGCTGCTGGGGATTTTAACTCAGATTCTCATTCTTTTGTAGCCAGCACTCTTACCCACTGAATTGTCACCCCAGCCCCTTTGTTTGTTTTTAAAGAAAATTCCCATATAAAACAACAGGATAGAAGCAATACCTTCATACATCTTCACAACTGAAGTAGTTTTATGTGTCAAAAATCTAGATTTCTGTGTTGTAATCTTGCTTTTTCCACAAGATGGCTGTCAGGTTTGTGTCAGTGTCTTCTCTGTAGACGTCAGTGCTTCCATCTAAAAAATGAGAGAGCCAGAGATAGTTTCTTTTAGTTCTTCAACTCTATATTTATATAGATGAGATATTGCAAAATGCCATTGGATCAAGCTTTTCTATTTAGGTAGAATGAAACCAGGCCATTGTGAGCTATTTTTATTGGTGATAGAGCTATAGACATGGAGGTTCTTGTGGAAATTTGACTGAGTATCCCCTAGGCCAAATTTGGTCTGAAAAATAAATCTTATCCTCAAGATCAAGTCTGCATCCTTGTTGGCTATTATTGATATGTACATCAAGATGGAAAAAATGCCTGAGTTTCTTCAGTTTAGTTTGGAATCTAGCTAGCAATCTATTACTCAACTGCAGGATACATGACAGTGCTAGAAGGCTTTGCCATGCTCTACTTCATATAGTATTTGAGGATTGATACAAGCTGCTTAGAGAACTAGTCTAGAAATGAACTCCCAATAAACTATATTGAGGTCTGCCCCCACTTTAACTGTCATTTATTATTTTCAAATATCTTAATTAGAGAGTCATCTATAAAGTGGAAGTAACATAATTTATGCCCATGTTATATCAGTAGTAAGCACTTGTATACTACTCTATGTCATGAATGTAAAAGTATTTTCTAAACTATAAGACCATATAGATGTTGCTGGAGGTTCTTTCCAGCCTGGTCCCATAGTCAGTTGACCCTAAATAAACACACAGATGCTATATTAATTATAAAATTTTTGGTCGATGGCTATGGCTTCTTACTGGCTATCTCTCTCGTATTTCTACATGGCCTTAACTTACCAGATAATGTTTGGTGTGTCCTATCTTCCCCGTCTCTCTATGGCGTTTCTCCTCGGCCTTCCTCTCTTTCATCACTCCTTCCTCTTATAGCCCCGCCTATCCTTCTTGCCTGGCTATTGGTCAAACAGTGTTTTATTCATCAACCAATAAGAGAAACAAATATACAGAAGGACATTCCCCATCATACAGATATGAGGTTAACTGATTTTTATAAAATCTCATTCATTCTTTTGGTTGATACCCATATCCAATACCCACAACTTATTTCCAATAAGAAGGCTGAAGCTTGGAGAATATTAAACAATGACCAAGATCTTATTGGTGGAAAGTGAGAGTACTGAGTATAGAACTAAGTCTTCCTAAAGTGTCTGTTGTATCATACTACTGTTAGTTGTTCTCAACACTTGATTGTATATTGGACCCATACATGGTGCTTCTAAGAAATATATGTCTGCTCCTACTCAGATGTTGGAGGCAGAATTTCTAGTGTTGTATCTCTAAGGGAAATAAGAATGAAAAGTTCTTTACATTACAGTAGTGGTTTAGATTGGAGCTGGTGGTGGTGGTGTCTGTGGGCATTACCTAATGCTGACCTTTAGGATGGCCTCAGTTTGTGCTTGATGAAATGCATAAATGATTGGAAGGAGAAGCTATAATTGAAGGCTTATAGTAGGTGGTGCTGAGTTGCAGAATTCCATGTGGGAAAGCCTGGTTCCTGTGGTTAGGATTTGGAGCCTTTGGTTTATTCTAAGAAGTCTTATGGCATTTAGTTTGAAATCTCTTTCTGGCTGCATTTTTTATGAACAAAGTAAAATTCTCTGAGCTTGGGAAGAGTTAGTGAAGTTAATTTTAACACTGAACTACATCGGTGTTTATCTCAAGTTTGGAATGTTTTACTGCCTTTTGCTCAGATTAGTTCGATTGAGCCAATGAGAGGTACTGTTTAAAATTAATTTTAAAAATAGGGTTATTGGCTCTTGCCAAAACTTTAATGTCTGTGATAAAACATGGCATTTTGTAGTCAGCTGCTTTTCTCAAGCTAAGCCCAGGCTGGATTAAACCAGAGATAGAAGGATGGGTGAGGTTGCAAGCTTTTTTTCCTATGTTATTTCCTCAAACATAAGATCTTGTTTACATGAAAACAAGGTAGGTCTTTCTCCTTTCTGTCTTCACTCATACTTGAATTCTCTGTCTTAATCAGCTTATTGAAAAATCTTACTTGAGTAGTTGCTAATATTAATGATAGCTCGTGTTTTTAAGGTTCTTTAGTTTATAAAGCTATATATTTTAATTGATTCACACAATAGTAAGAAAAGTTAATTGTCCTGGGTTTCTTTTTAATTATTATTCTTTTCACTCTGTTTTCTTACCAAATCATACTGTCTGATAACTTCATCACTGTGTTGAGTACTATAAGTGGTGATGAGAACCACCCTTATTTTGTTTTTAATTCCAGAAGAGAGGCATCCAATATTTTATAGCTGTCTTAAGTAGCTACTAGCTAGGCAGAGACAGGGAAGGACATTTCAGAAACACAGAATAAACAAAGGCCTAGGGAAGTCAACAGTGTGCTCAGGATTTTCCCTGCTTTCCACATACCAGAAAGCCAACCATCTCTGATAATCTTTTACTAGACATATACCATGATTTAGGGATTGAGAAACAAAGCAGATAAAGAAAATCTATGCTCCTGGGGGTTCAATAGCCCAAGGCTACAAACTCCACCTCTCTAGCCACTGTAGAAGAAAAGGTGAGCAACAAGTAGGAGGTGGGAGCTTGTGAGATGTATTCAGAGGCTATAGGTACAGAGAAGAGTGGCTGGTAGAGATAGAGCTAACTTCAGAATTAAGTTACATGGTTTCATTTCTCTGGTTCTCTTTTCTATAAACTACTTGTTCTCTGAGGTTCCCTTTCTCTTGAACTTTACTACCATAGTTCCTTCTGGACTTAACATCCATATCTGATATTATACATTTTATTTACATACAATGGAGATAATTTATAAATCATAGTAAGATGTATAAATATGTTCAAATCTAAATAAAACAATATACTTTTATTTCTCTAAAACCTTTCAAGGGATTAGCTTAGAAGGAATTTAGAAACAAAAAGCCATGTGACACAAAAAGCATTTCCATATCCCTGCCACATGTCCTATACATTCTAGCTTTGAGTAGACAGATGCAGTTATGTCATAAGTGACTACTCATCTGGGGCCATGGTATGGCCCTTAGCCTTCTCCTTCTCAAAGCAGCTGCTCTAGAAGGGAAATTGCCACGTATATAAATAGTGTAACCCTTAGCAACTGGCATATAGACAAGAAGTTCTTAATGAAGCTACTAAAGAAAACATTCTTTGGGACCAAACCTGGGTTCAAACCCCAGCACTTGCTAGTTATATTGATAAATTACTCAGTGTTCTGATCTATAAGCAGGTAGTAGTAGTATTTAGCTTGTAAAATTGTAACAATAAAGGAAAACTATGTCTGGTATATACACATGGTAAGTTCTTGATGTTATTTATCATTATATCTGAGCACATTTTCTTAAATCAACTTGCAGTTCTTCAGCAGTGAGAGAGTAGAAGAATGTAAGGGCCTTGGCTTTTATTTCACTGGCATAGGCAGATCTGTGTCACAATCTCCTAGTCTACAAATGAAAGTTGACTCTCAAGCTGGTGGTGATTATGTGAGATAATATATATGAAATGCCTTTTAAAAGCTATGGGATGTCATTTCAGGAAATAGTCTAGTTACAGCGTTTTGACAGTGCTTCTCTTCTGATAATAGACTATTGTGAAATGTAGAAGCTATATTATGGTGAGGAAGAGGTAAAAATGACATGGACTCTAGATCTTTCCTCCCTCCCAACTTTATAGCCTTCTGGGCTCTGTAACTATATATGTGTACTAGATATAACTTGCTATTCACAGGAGCTTACTGAAAAACTAAATTAAGTCTAGAAACTGAAAAATATCCCTCTTATTTTATTTTATAGCAAATAAAAAGAAGGAGAAGGAGCGGCCAGAGATTTCTCTCCCTTCAGATTTTGAGCATACAATTCATGTTGGTTTTGATGCTGTCACGGGGGAGTTTACGGTAAGTCCTTGTGTCAGTCTTAGAGTTTGGGCTGTATGCTATTAGATTCAGTCCTTTCTTGTCCCCCTAAAACTTCTTTTTCTGCCAGAGGTGTTTCAAGAACACTTTCCTAATCTCACATTTCTCTTTTAATTGTCTTGCTTTGTTTGCAGTATTTGGGATTGAAAACTAGCCCCTGCGCATGCTGTCTAAAAGCTTTACCATTGAGCTACATCATCAACCCAAACAAATCTTCCTTTTTTTTTTAAGATTTTATTTATTTATTATGTATACAACATTCTGTTTCCATGTATATCTGCACACCAGAACAGGGCCCCAGATCTCATTACAGATGGTTGTGAGCCACCATGTGGTTGCTGGGAATTGAACTCAGGACCTCTGGAAGAGCAGTCAGTGCTCTTAACCCCTGAGCCATCTCTCCAGCCCCCACACAAATCTTTCTTAAGAGGCTCCATGACAGCAAGCTCTAGGTGGGGCACTGATGCAGGAGTAAATCAGACTTGGTCCCTATTCTGAAGGAGGTAAAGCCTGGTGATGGAGCAGACCTTTTAAGGAAGATACATAAAAGGAGCTTGTGTAAATTTTGAGGAACCAGGGAAAGGGATAACAGGCTCATTTTTATCTGCTAGCAGACATCAAAGTTTGATCTGATACTTTTTCAGGGTCTCTTGTATCCATGTCTTCCTGAAAACCTTTCATTTCTTTCTTTTAGGGGATGCCAGAACAGTGGGCCCGATTGCTTCAAACATCAAATATTACAAAGTCAGAGCAGAAGAAAAACCCACAGGCTGTTCTGGATGTGTTGGAATTTTATAACTCTAAGAAGACCTCCAATAGTCAGAAGTACATGAGTTTTACAGGTACGAAAATTGTGTCCATGGTAATCACAGCAGGAGAAGCTCCTGCATGCCTGTTGATTAGCAAGAAAAAAGAAAGTGCCAAGAGTGCAATGGCACTCTCTAAAATGTGATTGGAAATGACAATTGAGATGAAGACTTCTGTCTTGGTTATTGTTTTGTTGCTATGAAGGGATTCCATGATCACAGCAACTCTTATAAAGGAAAAACATTTAATTGGGAATGCCTTACAGTTTCAGAGTTTTAGTCCATTATCATCATGGTGCCACATGGTGGAGTGCAGACAGGCATGGTGCTGGAAAAGGAGCTGAAAGTTCTACATTTTGATCCACAGGTAGCAGAAGGAGACTGTGTCACACTGGGCATAGCTTGAGCATAGGAGACCACAAAGCCCAATCGCCCTCCTAATAGTGTCACTCCCTATGGGCCAAGCATTCAAACACATGAATCTATAGGGGCCATACCTAAGCAAACCACCATAGCTTGTTTGTTTTTATTCTGAAGCTGCATATGTTATTTTTTACAGTATGTATTTTGTGTGGGGTGTGGGCATGCATGCCATGGTGAGCACATGGAGATCAAAAGACAACTTCCAGGAGTAGGCTCTTTCTTTCCACTGTGTGAGTTCTTGAGTTTGAACTCAAGTAGTTAGACTGGGTGGCAAGTGCCTTTACCCACTAAGTTATCTCACTGCTCCTGCATATGTTAATTTCAAAAAAGTGGGAATTGTATAAAAGGAACATAGACTTCTATATAGTTATTAAGCATAGGTATCTAGTTAATGTTATTATTTCTGATATCATTACTTAATAATGAGTATCTTTTAAGTTGCAAGCCCAGTTTCTCTTTTAAGAGACTCTTTTTGAGCTATCTCTGTCTGGTTTAGGCTTAGAACTCATGGTAATCCTTTAACATCAGCCTTCAGAATCCTAGGATTACAGATATGAGCCATCATATCCTACTTAAGGGACTACATTTTATCACTTGAATGGAAATCAGGTCAGTAGTAATTATAAATGTTCTTTACATGAACTTTCTGTGTAAGGGATTATGTTTTTGGTGGTGGAATTGGGATTAGAACTCAGGTCTTTTTACTCTTAGCCCCATGTCTTTTGAATTACTAGTTGCCTTTAGTAATTTTATTTGGAGCATGTTCTTCCATAGCAGAGGTATTTTTCTTTTCATAGGCTAACTTATCAAAAGTCTATATTTCTGGAAACTTGTCTTTTTTTTAAGATTTATTTACTCATATTTCTGTGTGCTCTGTCTTCATGCACACAAGAAGACAGCAGATCCTATTATAGATAGTTGCTAACCACCATATGGGTGCTTAAGATTTATTTACTCATATTTCTGTGTGCTCTGTCTTCACGCACACAAGAAGACAGCAGATCCTATTATAGATAGTTGCTAACCACCATATGGGTGCTGGGAATTGAACTCAGAACCTTTGGAAGGAGAGTCAAGTGCTCTCAACCACTGAGCCATCTCTCTAGCCCCCAAAACTTGTCTTCTTTATAGCATCTTGAGAGTTAAAGCAAAGCTGGGCATTCTTGTAATTCCAGATAGATGTGATAAGGGAGGATTAGGAATTAAATGTCATTCTTTTCTTTTTTTTAATTTTTATTTTATTTTATTAGTTCAAACAAGCTTGCTTCAGATGTCAATCCCTTCTTCCTCTCCCTACCCTCCCTCCCCCACCATCCCACCTGCCCCTAGCCATCCCCCCTCCACTCCCCAGGCAGGGTAAGGCCCTCAAAAGGGGCTCCCCAAAGTCTACCACATCATCCTGGGCCAGGCCTAGTATGTCATTCCTTTCTACCTAACAAGTTCAAGGCCAACCTTGGCTATGTGAGACTTTGTTTTAAAAACAAATAAACAAACCAGAAAAACACAACACAACAAAACCAAGGAGAAAAATAGAACATTTGACTAAGAAACATATATACCAATTCCTCACTGCAGATAAGAAACACAGAAGTGGTCTTTGTAGTGTGCCTAAATTAGTGTCAGTCCTGGCTTCTTACTTCTTAGTCTGGTGCTCTTTGTTTCAAAAGCAGAATTGTTGGAGAAGGTGAGAGTCATGATGAACTAGCTGACTTTGAAAGACGATTTCCCCAGCTAGTATCTGGCTCATATCAAAGGGTACAGATGGTCGGATGATGGACTGCAGCTTCACTCACGCTGCCACAGTAGTACTCAGGAGAGGCCATGCGTCTTCCCAGCAGCATTTCCTTCCTCTCATCTGTCCCTACTGAGTCTGTCTGTCTTCTTCCATTGAAGGATTAGATCATTCCGAGGAGAAACTGGGGTGAGAGGTGGCTATGATCAGGAAAGTGGAACTTATGTTTAAGGAGTTTATTACAGAGACATCGTAATGGAAGCTGTTTTCTATGTCCATGTATATAGATGTAAGGAAGTTGCATGTATGCATATGGATCATTGTCCCTGAGGACTTGTATATGGTTGAAATTATAGTCCCTTTACGTATTTATGAGTGAATAAGTGTATATATAGCTATACACATATGGTCATCTATGTATGCATATTTAAACTATAGTTATTGTATTTCCACAGATACATGTGCATACTTGTACTTTTGTGTATTAATATAGACACATGTGTATGTGCATCCATGTAGGATTTAAAATTTTCTGGTTTTTAAAGACAAGGGCCAACTCTAGGCAAAATTTTTATATTTGACAAGTTTATTTTTAATGTGGTCTATCCCTTTTTCCTGTTTCCTCTTCTTCTATATATTGTTAATTAAGCTAATACCATATCAGTGTGTGTATACTCACCTGTGACTTATCTCTTATGATTCTTATGTGGCATATAGGAATTGTCTGAGCAAAGATTTACTAATCCCATTTTATAGACTCAAAGAAGTTTAATAGTTTTATAACTTGCTCATTATGGTGCAAGTATTATATTTCTTATTTCTGTTTTTTTTTTGTTTTGTTTTTCAAGACAGGGTTTTTCTGTGTAGCTTTGGAGCCTGACTGGCCTTGAACTCAAAGAGATCCACCTACCTCTGCCTCCTGAGTGCTGGGATTAAAGGTATATGCTACCACACTGGCTTTGGAAGTGTGTTTTAAGTCAGGCCTCTAAACATTGTTCTTTATAATTCGCACCACTCTATAGTCCCTTTTATTATTTTGGTTAAGTTTTCTGTGGCATTTGATTTTTCTGTACCAGTTAATGTTAGAGAGAAAGACTAAATTGATGCCCCACTCAATGTTTAGCTCTACTTTGACACAAACTGATAGGACCTTTTACCAGTATCTTTGTATTTTTGAACTACAGTTCCCTCAGTTTTGTTGTAAAGTAAAGGATTTGGAAGTATTTTCTATTCTTTTCATTCTGTGCTTTAAAAATCAATTTTGATCAATAGAAATTACATAACAGTTTTTATAAGAAGAAATGTTTACTTACAATATTATTCATTCATATATGTACATGTATGTGATCAGAGGATAACTTGCAGTTCATTCTCTCCTACTATGAGGGTCCTATGAATTGAACTCAGGTCATCAGATCTGAGTGACAAGTGTCTTTACCTGCTGAACCATCAGACCAACCTCAGTTACCTGTTTTTATGTGGTATCAGAGACATTTTATAACCATAATGACTAGTACTTAAAAGAGCTAGGAGTATTAAGGTTAGAAGCAGTGCGGTAAGGTATAGTTTTGCTCTGCTAAGCTTATACCATTTTGTTTTTTTGGAAGAGCAAAGAAAATTAATTATGTTTAAATTATGTTTTGAATTGATTTCTTCAGAGCTTAGCCATCTATGTTTTTTGTTACTGTTTTTGTTTTGTTTATAGATAAATTTTTATGTGTGTAAGTTTTGTTAAGTTTGTGTACCATATTCATGAATGGTGCCTGGGGAAGCTAGAAGAGAGGGTCAGATCCCCTGAAACTGGAGTTAAAGTTGGTTGTTGCTGGGCGGTGGTGACTCACGCCTTTATTCCCAGCACTCAGAAGGCAGAGGCAGGCGGATCTCTGTGAATTCCAGACCAGCCTGGTCTACAAGAGCTAGTTCCAGGACAGCCTCCAAAGCCACAGAGAAACCCTGCCTCGAAAAGTAAAAAACAAAACCAAAAACCAAAAACCAAAAAAAAAGAGGTTGGTTGTGAATCACCTTGGGGTGCTGAGAAACAAACCTGGGTCATTTGCAAGAGCAGAAATACTTTTAACTGCTGAGCAATCTCCAGTGAACAGGGTTTGCTTTAAGAACATAATGTCATAGATTGCTTTACTTCATACTTTGTGGATTCTTTATTTGCTGTAGAGCCAAAGAGCCTTACTAGGTTTTGTTTTGTTTTGTTTTGTGATAAAATTGGGACCTTGAATGTTCTTTGGTCTGGGTTCTTGATGACAAATATGTTAGATTTTTTGTGATAAAATTGGAACCTTGAATGTTCTTTGGTCTGGGTTCTTGATGACAAATATGTTAGATTTGGTAGAATGTTTTCCTATTCCCATTGGTGATGAACTGGCAAGTAAATTCTTAGGATTTAAAGAAACAAATCAAAGAAGACAACTTGTCTTTAAATTTCTTTTCTTTTTTGCTAAAATCTTTTATGGGTCTCTATTTCATCAAGTGTGAGATATCACTGACTGTGAGATGACAGTTATTTTATATACTACTCAAAGTCGGTCCATCAGATTGTGAAATGCCTTGAATGAATGATGATCCTATGTTGCACATATGTACTTGTGCAGAAGACAAGCTTGGGTATCATTCCTGTGTTTTCGAGACAAGGTCTCTCACTGACCTGGAACTCATCTGGTAGTTTGGCCAGGGGCCTATCAATCAGTATTTGCTTCTCAAGTACTGGGATTGTAATCATGTATCACCACACTCAGTTTTGTTTGTTTACATCCTTGCATTTATTTGCACAGCAAGCACCTTACTGACTGAACTAGTTCCCGGACTCTGAAAGATCCTTTCTGAAAGCTGAAGCTATAGAATGGTCATGATTTTATGTAAGTGACTTGGGAACATAGAGCATGGATTCCTTGCCTTTATCTTAGAATGTAGGACATTTTTTTGACCATTGAAAACTCATGATGTGGGTACTGTTATAGCATGGTATTTAGAATTAGATCAGAATTCAGGTTTGAATCATCTGTTTAACCTGTATGTACACTGGGCAAATTATTTAACTTCTCTCAATTATAAAGTCTATTAAAGTGAATATAATAATAATACTCAGAGCCATAGTGAAGGTTAAAGGAGACCTGATAGGTATAATGTGCTTCTGCTCGTTGGACCAGTTATACCATTACCATTCTCTGGATCTGGCAAGTGCTTGGCCAGATAGATTTCCTTAGCAATCAGAAAAGGGTTAATTATACTTGTTTACTAAATATTTTGTCTCTCTTCTTTTTACAGATAAGTCAGCTGAAGATTATAATTCTTCTAACACTTTGGTAAGTCTGTATTTCCTCCATTCTGACATAAGTGGATATGGAAGTAAGGTTCAATATAGTGTGGTAGAGACAGAGCCTGGCCTTGAAGATGCTCACCTTGGTCACTGCTATGCCTTAGATTCTCTTTCTACAGTAAAGGAACTAGCGTGATGAACAGTATTATCCCTATTTGACAGTATATCTCTTCCAGCTTTACAAAGTTGTAGAAATTCTAACCTTAAAACTAGAAGTTGTAGCTTTTAGACTGTTTAATTTGTAGGTTTGAACATTGGGAAACCCAGTTTGCCTTTCTGTGGTACAGATTTCTCAACAGTAAAATGAGAATGATACATTTTTCCTTAACTGTATGTGTTTCCAGACCCTTTGCATTAGAAAGGAATCCCTTCTTCTTGATCAGTAAGGCCTACATATCTGAAGGGAACAGATTCTACTTATTTAAGAGTATCATCCTCCCCTCTGCGGCTGTGTTCTGTAACTTAAAGGATTGTGAAAGGAATCACTGAAGAATGGATGGTCTTAAAAAGTCCCTTTATGACCCACATTTTAAAAGTTGCATTTTTTCATGGCAGTTATGATTAAAAAATGAGATGCTGATATCTTTGTCATATAAAGAATAATAATATTTGGTCATATAAATAATAAGCTGTGAGACATATAAGAGAATACTATCCTTTATATGGGGTGTTAACTCTTATAGAAAATTGTTTATAGCCAGATTTGGTAGCCAAGCCTTTTAATCCCAGCTACTTGACAGACTGAGGCAAGAAGAATTGAAAGTTTTAAGTCCAACTTGGGCTATAGAAGGAGTTCAAGGCCTGCCTGAGCTACTTACAGAAATTCTGTCTCAAACAAAAAGTTAAAAGATGGCTTGGGATATAGATGAATGGTAGAGTATTTGCTTATCATGGAGAGGCTGTAGATTCAACCCCCAGAACTGCAGAAAATAAAAGAAAGGTGCTTATACCATATTGTTTTACTAAACATTATTCTCTGCCAGGCCGTGTGTGGAGCAGTCAGACATTGTCCTAGACTTGCACTTCCTAGTCTTATAGAGGCTATAAAGGCACATGCAATTACAGTTCAATATGCTATAAACCTCATGATGTCAGGAACTATGTCCGTATTATTAATTGCTTTGTTCTGACATTTGCTGAACATTTATTGAATGAAAGATTTGATGTGTCAGTGAAAACATCTCAATGTCTATGCTGAATGAGTTATTTAGAGTAGTAAGAATTAGAGAGAGGAAGATATTTCAGATAGAAAATTATATGCATGGGGAAAGAAGTTCACAAGGTATGTGTATTCTGGGAACTGCTAATAGTTTGATATGCCTGGAATGTAAAAATGTGCCGGAAGAGAGGTTGGCGGTAAGGAGGCATAGTAAAATAGGCCAAGTCATGTAGGAGTTTGGCTTTGTGTAAAAGGAAATGAAAAGCTTAAAGAATTTTAAAGAGGAGAATAGTAATATATCATGAAATGATCCGTAGTCTGTAAGGTTAAGATATCTTTATTTAGATAAACACCAGCCAAACGTAAGCCAGAGTATGCCAGGGGCAGCAAGGCAGGGAGGCCAGAGAGAAGAGGCTCCCCTGTGCCTTGCAGCCCCTTAAAAACCCTATCACGTATCATCCTGACCTTATGTTGACCACACCCTGACAGGCGTGGTCAGGTACACCTGTAGCCAGCTTCTAGCAGGCATGGCTTACACTATCCCCTACAGTAATATATAACACAGTACTGAGCCACTGTCAAACCTTGCTGCCAGCAGTCAGAGTCATTTATACTATTGGCAATTATGAAAATAAAAATTTGCCAGTCTGGTACTTTGCAATGTATTGGTCCTTTCTTACTCATTAGCTCTTATTTTTCACAACATTGTAAAGGATTGTAATCCTTGCTTTATAAATGATAAAACTGAAATAGACAAAGGTTAATTGTAACACACATTTGATTCCTACTCTGCCCTGCTTTCCTACCATTCATGCTGCTTTGCATCAATTGGAAGAGATGCGATTAAAAGACAGAGAAAGTATTTTGCAAATGCGCTGTCTTTGAACAATGAATTATTGATCAGTAAATTATGGAAGAAAGGGCCTAAACAAAGTGGAGTTGTGACCTGTGGGTGAAATGTCTTTATGCTTTTGTAAGAAGAGTACCTGTTATCTATTATTGAATTATTACTCTGTGCTAGACACTATGTTAAGATCTTCATCTTTAGCATAATTAATCCTTACAATTACCTTGGGAAGGAGATACTGTTGTCCTCATTTCCTGGGCAGAAAAACAAACCTTCCTAAAGACTTAACAATAAGACCCACACTGCAAACCAATTATGGTATAAGCATATAATGCCAGCTCTTGGAAGGTGGAGGCAGGAGGACCAGAAGTTCAGGGTCATCCTTGGCTACATAGTAATTAGACTGGCCTAGGTGACATGAAGACCCTGTCTCAAAAAGCAAACGTAAAGCTATATAAAAACTAGAATCCAAGGTAGTGGTGCACTTTAATCCCAGAAGTTGGGAGGCAGATCTCTGTGGGTTCCAGGACAGCCTGGATTCAGAGTGAGTTTCAGAGAAACCCTGAGGGAGGGAGGGAGGGAGGGAGGGAGAGAAAGACATAAGAAGGTCTTATAAAGGTGACTGCAGTAAAGCAACAGCCATGTTGTTAGTGTGAGAGAAGAGCCCTGTGGCTCATGCCATATGGCTTAGAGGATAACACCTGCTTGATTTAGTATCTACATTTAGAACCATTCAGACTGCCAAGGACATTTCCCTGTAATTGAAAGCATTTCTCCTATAACTCACTGTTCTGTATTTCCTTATTAGTGTCACATTGAGGATATGATTTGATCATAGTAACATATCATTGATTTCTGTTTTGGTTTTATATACATTGTTTCATTTCATTTATGAAACACTCTAGAAGAGTTACTATCTTTCTGGTTATAGATTAAGAAAATGTGGCACAGAAAGATTGTGAATTGCTCCTTACTGTTGAGTTGATAGTATAAATCAGTTTAAAAAAATCTATTCTCTTGAATATTGTGTATTTACTCATTACGTAAGTATTTCCTCAGCATTTTCTTTGTGCCAAATAAACAGGCAACACAAAAATGAATGTGCACTATCCTAGACTTTGAGAAAAATCTTAATGTCAAACTAAGGAGATAGGAGCCAAAAGAGAGTAATGTGAATTGGGGTCATATTTGATTTGTGATTTGTTCTTTTTCATAGTTGAGGGAAGTTTACATCCTAGGTCCTAAAGGTTTGCTCATTTAACAGATATGACCTTGAAACATTCTTATTTGTGTCTAGGATCTGACTTAAGTTTCTATGATATTTTTATGGCTGATTCTCATTTAAAGATTTTGTGCCAGCCAGGTGTGGTGATATCTAATCGATATATCTATATATGTATATATATGTATATATATAATCGTATTCAGGAGGCTGAAATAGGGGAGTCATAAGTTCCAAGCTAATGTGGTCTACATAGCCTGGCCCCATCTTAAACAAGAGAATATGTATTGTGTGATAGGTTCTTGGGGTCCTGAGAAGTTAAGGGCTGGTAGAGCTTTGCTCTTAGTGATAAATCAGAACATATAAAAAAGGTTTATAACTAATGCTAGCTAAAGAAATGGTCATTGCTTTCCTGTCTGAGGGATAGTGTAATAAAAACCTGTTTATTAAGGGTTTATCAAGAGCCCAGTACATAAAGCAAGAGAAATTGGAGTTTATGCTAGAATTAGTAACTATTTTAAATAAAAGATTTATATAGTTGGATATACATTTTAGTCTAAGCTCATGCCTTAGAACAATAAGGTCTAAGGTCTAAAAATAAGGTCAGGGGAAAAAATGAACTGAATTTATAAAAAAAAAAAAAAGGAACTGAATTCAGGTGCTCACTTCTGGTTAGCCCAAAGATACATTTAAAAAGGAACAGTATTTTAAAACAAAAAACAGGTTATAACTTAACCATTATGAAACAGTTATAAAAGATGCAAAGCCTGTTAGGAGAAGATGAGAAGCATCCATAGCTTCAAGTAATAGGAAGCCAGGTACATTATATATGCCTGAAATCCCAGTACAGAAGGCTGAAGCAGGAATAACAAAAGCTCAAGCCAGCCTTGGTTAAACAGACCTTTTTATAGAGTAGGACCAAAAACCCCTAGGAAGAGAAAAAGTAGCTCCAGGAAAAAAGCAAGGAGGGGAGCTTGCAGTCCTGGGTCATTTTTAAAAGTAAACAAGGGAAGCTTCCCTCTTACTTTGTGTCTAGGTTAAAATCAGGTATTTTCAAAAGAAAGCAGACATTTACGTTAAAAACTGCGGTGGCTCGGGAGCCTGAGAGAGAACACAAAACCCTGTCAGAGTATTGCTACCACAGATTTGAAGAGGAGCATAGCTCTACAGCTGAAGAAAATACTTATTACTTTATAAAATATGTTTTATTTATTTATTTATTGACAATTTCATTTTGTATAAAATGTATCATAATTGTACTCATCCTCAATTCCTCCTTTCCAGTATCCTCCCACCCCCCAATTCCTCCCCACAGGTCCATTTCCCACTTTTATGTCTTTTCCTTTTTTTTTTTTAACCCACTAAGACAAATTAGTGCTGCTTGATGGGATACTTGATGGATCTTGTTGGCTTTATCTTCTGTAGATCTTGTGTTAGTAACTACAGCTGCAGTGAGCTCATGAATACCAGTGACATGTCTTAATCAGAGGACAGCATTTCACAGCATTCCTCCCCATCCTCTGGCTCTTACGTTCTTACCACCTCCTCTCTTCTGCTATGTTCCTTGAGCCTTGGACAGTATAGGAGGTTGTTGTAGATGTTCCATTTAGGACTGAGCACACAACAGTAACTTATTTCAGCACTCTGACTGATTATTAACTGCATTAACTGTTGCCCACTGCAGAGAAAAGCAGCTCTGGTCATGGCTGAGAGTAGCACTAATCCGTGAGTATACACATAAATATTTAGGAGGCAGTTTGACAACATGTCCATTTAGCAAAACAGTAGTAATAGGTTCCTCACTATGGCGTTTGACCTCCTGAGCCAGGGAACTTTTGATTAGGCTTACAGTATGGTGAATTCCTTCCTGTGAAGAAAATACTTTTAAACTCCTGCATCCCAAGATTTGGGTTTCTCATTTTAATACCCAGGAGAAGAACTTCAGCCTTATATGCTTTACACACACACACACACACACACACACACACACACACGAGAAGAACTTCTGCCTTATATGCTTTACACACACACACACACACACACACACACACACACACACAAGAGTCATTTACATTTTTGAGAGCCAGCTCACACACACAGTGAGATGTCATACTCTCACACACTCACGCATGCATGTACACTCTCACACACTCCTACACACCTGCATATCCTAAAGAAAAACTTTCCAGTGAAACCATTTCTCTATATTGAACATATTAAATCAGACCTGCTGTAAATATATTGTTGTTGGAGTAATTAAAGGGTAAAAGAATTCTTAGAATTTAAAAACATAATAAATCAACAAAGATTAGACAACAATTACATATAAATTTCATGCCTGTGATTTTAACAGAATCCATCACAGTATTCTAGGGACTCTGAAAATATCTGAAATTATTTATGTCAGTATATCTGAAAAATCTCTGTTGCCTTTCTGGTTCTAATATTAAAACCATCAATAACAACAAAACAGCAACATGTGTTTTAGATCCACTTATCTTGAACCTGATATTTTTGTCCAGCTCTATTTCAGTTTGCATGAGAAAATCAAGTTGCTACAGATCATTAGCAAATCTAATTAGTAGTACTAGTGAAGTTCGTTCTGGAGCAGGACAGAAGCTTGGTGATAGAGAGAGCAACCAACCTGGTGAGAAACTCATTGTCCGTCTTAGAGTAAAAGATCCTGATGTGCTGTACCTTATTGAGGCAGGGCCTCCCACATTCACACCCTGTGACATAATAGGGTCAGGAGTTTGGAAGAAGGAAAGTGGGAGGGGGTGGCTATTTAGTCTTCTGGTTACTATATTAGGAAGAACAGGTAATTCCAGTGATAAAGCACAGAAAATTCAAAACTTTTTTTCTACATTTATTTTCTGCTCATTATAAAGAGTATAAAATTCATAGACTAAGAAGAAACTGAACTTTGTCTAAGTATTTGATTGTAGGTGCAGTCAGGGAAGCTGTAAACTGGCATACTGTTCCACAGTTAAGCTTTAGGCGGGCAAAGGAAGCACCCCAAGTGAGTGGATAGTGATGGCTAGAAGAGGAAGCTGGCTTGCTGTCTGCACAGAAGTGGAGAATCTTGAAGCTAATGAGGCTTTTATAAGGGGTGTCAAAATTGAGTTCCTCTGGAGAACTAGCAGATGCTGTCTGCACAGAAGTGGAGAATCTTGAAGCTAATGAATTAGGCTTTTATAAGGGGTGTCAAAATTGAGTTCCTCTGGAGAACTAGCAGACCTGGGTTCTGAAGTTCGATGTCCACTAGACCAGATAAAGTTGTCTTTTCTACATAGAATGTGAAGACTGTGTCTGAGACCCCAGCAGTGCCACCAGTGTCAGAAGATGAAGATGATGATGATGATGCCACCCCACCTCCAGTGATTGCTCCACGCCCGGAACACACAAAATCTGTGAGTCTTGTATATGATTCATTCAAATAAGGGGTAGCAGAGAGTGGGGAGATGGTGGCACTGAGGCTAGGAGTACAATATAAGGATCCATAGACTTTAGAGCTGGTACAGTCGTTGAACTACTTTTTGTTTCTTCTCATGTTTTGAGATGGGGTCTCACTGCATTGTCCAGGCTGGCCTTGACTCATAGTGTTCTTCTTACCTCACTCACTCAAGTACTAAGATTACAGGCTTGTGCTATTGTGCCCAACTGGACCTCCTGTTTTGAAGCTATTTTCTACATGATTAGAGAGAAGTTTATTTGTTAATTCAGCTGTTCCTAAAGTTCCCTAGGTAATTGGTGTTTATACCAGTCTAAACTTGGTTTACTTATCTTATTCTTTACAGATATGATAGGAAGGTATATAGAATTGACGCATTTTACTTCTAGAATTACATAGATTATTCCAGTCTCTTAGGGAGCAGGAAATTACCTTGCTAAAGATCTTTTTCTTTTGTGTTAAATATGCAGTCTTCAGCCTCTCCAGCATCTTTGATGATGCTGAAAGACCCAAGAGAGTTTATAAATACATTAGTGCTATTAATATGCTGGACATTAGGCATGCATCTTGATGCCGGATGTTGGTGGTGATTTCTCTTTTAACTTTCTTTGAGGTTCCTGCATTTCAGAATAGCTACAGTCTCTCCTCCTGCACTTTACAGAGTCTGTACCTTTGCCTTTTTATTTGATTTAGCATCATTGAGCAGTGATGATCTCCTGTCAGATGATACTCTGAAACACTCTTCAGCTTTTTTATTATGAAGAGAACTCCATAATTAAAGAACCATCTAGGACTTAAGCTCTGTGTTGATTGAATGACTAATGGAAGATGCTGTGGAGGAAATTCAGTTAGATGACCTCCTATTAGCCTAAGAACTTACAAATAGAATCTGTTGGATTTCCCTGTCTGTACATCACAAATTTGCCTTAAGGAAAATAGCCTTCAGTGAGCTGTCAATATTTTCCATTGATGTGTTCTGTTTGTGGTTTGCAGGCATATTTATTTAAAACCGTTTTCTCTCTAAACCTTTAACTCCTCTAAAGTAGAGGCAATCTATCTACCTATGTGTTATCTTTTTAGTATCTAATAAAGTTTTTGGCACAGGGATCATAGAGAAGGTAGTAAATATTGAATAAAAGAGTAGATTGATAAATTTGCATTTCTTAGCATTCTTTGAGAAATATATCGCTAATTTATAGAAGAAGCAGGTGAGATATAGAGAGGTCTGTCCAAGCCACTTGGTAAGCAAAAGCCAGGGTTTGAAAGCAGATAATTAAATCCAAGTTCAGATTACATTCCACAGTAGCACATATACTACACTTTTGTGTGTATAGACCTACACTGGAAGCCAGTTAAGGATAATGTTATAGAGAAAGCAGACAGGATAGCTTTCCTCAAGGAACCATAGATAGAGAAGAACAAGGTTTAACTACCTGGGATGTAATTTTTCTACAGGTACAAGAATAAAAGTTGAGAAATTATTTTACTAGAGTAGTCAGAAAGCCAGTCTAGTTGATCTGTTGCTTTGTTTCTTGATTCTCTATAAACACTTTCTGAATGCTTGCCTTTTACAGGGTAAGTGGGTTAGTTAGAGGACTCAAGGAGGAATAATGTATGTTCTATGCCTTGATAGACTATAGATAATACAAAAAATAATTATGATTTCCTTAGTGATAAAAATCTGATAAGTACTGAAAGCATCATCTAGGAAAGGAAGTATAACCTGGGGGTACTTTTTTCTTAGCCTTAGTAGTATTTAGTGGCTCCTTTCTTGATGACATTTCTCTCATTTGCCTTTGTAGTAATTACTTTCTCACTTCCTCAGAATGAGTAGGGCAGTGAGCTAGGCTTACCAGAGATTCTCAGCAAACATTTGTTAAATGAACAAGTGTATAGAAAATACAGTGTCTTTTAAAGCTAAAGTTTGAATGCTTAATATCTGCTGTGCATGGCTCTGATCATTCACACATGTTGATTTATTGTTGAATAAGGTAGGTATTATCACCATTTTATAGACAAGGAAACTGAAGCACAGAGAAGCGAAGTAACCTGGCTGAAGCCATTCGGATAGTAATGAGAGCTGAGATTTAAACCCAGGCTGTCAAGTTCCCAAGTTACTATACCCTTGAAGCATAAGAGTAGTTAGTTCTTGGTAAGAGCTCAACAGCTCGAGAAGGAATAACTCCACAGAAAATAAGTGTTGGAAAGTGTTCAGGGGTTGCACATGATTATCATTTCATCTTGGAAAAACAGAGTATCATGGGCGAGGGAGGTTTACATCTAATGATAAAATCTCCTCCAGTTTTTTTACTAAGAGTTAGTTTTATGTAGCCCTTTTGGACTGATTTTGGTGCTAAGGCCATCACCAACCCATCTTGTTACTGTGAGAGCAAGGAAGATCATTTTACCCAGGGCAAATTGGCTGGGGCTCAAAGGAGGAATAATACAGATTTGACATACAAGAGAAAAGCTGAATTGGAAAGGGGAGGTTCCTGGGGATGTTCAAACTATAATATCCAGAAGAAGTTCCCTTATACTAACAAAAAGCTGGCTTTGCCAAAATTTCCCACTGATTATGCAGGTATATACACGATCTGTGATTGAACCACTTCCTGTTACTCCAACTCGGGATGTGGCTACGTCTCCCATTTCACCTACCGAGAATAACACTGCTCCACCAGATGCTTTGACCCGGAATACTGAAAAGCAGAAGAAGAAGCCTAAAATGTCTGATGAGGAGATCTTGGAGAAATTACGTAAGCACTTTATAGCTTTTTTGAACCTTCCTTTGGTCTGTGACTGGTCAGTCATTGAAGTGGAATGCTGCTATAAAGATCTGGATCCTAGGTGTAGGCCATGTGCCTGGTTGGCTCTTCGTAGTACCAGAACTATGGGCTGTACTTCTCGTCATCTGAACTTTGACCCCCTTCTGTGTTTCACCAGCTTTGAGTGTACACTACCTTAAGGATAGGGACATAATAGGAGAGAATGTGGACAGCTCACTTTGAGGGTTATAGATATGACAAATAGCTGTTATTTAGTGAGTAGTCTAGAATATTGCATGGAGAAAGATTGCGGTATTGATTATACCTGGAAAAGAGTGCTGTTGTTGATGCTTGCTATTAACTTAGGAGAAGACAGCTCTGCCATTGTGGATGTAGAAAAAGAAGACAAGAGAAACCAATGTTTTATGAGCTTGCACTGTGTAACAAGTGATAAGCAAGAAAGATAATTTATTATAGTAACTCTGTGAAGATACTGATGATAATCTTCATTTCTTTAGTTAAGGTTTTTAAGACCCAAAGATTCTAAATACCCTGCCCCAGATCATAGAGCTGCAAAGTGGTGCAACTGAGGTTAGATCAAGCTTTAATTTAGTAAGTAGAACATACTGCCTCTTGCAATCAGGTATAGGCTGATTTTATTTCGGTGGGGGAAGGCTTGGGTAAATCAAACCTGTAGGTTCACATTGCTTTCTAAAGATGAGGTTTCTGGTTCTTTAGCAGCTTCCAATTTCTTTCTAATAATTCTTGTTTGACCTTTTTTTATTTGTTTGTCCTTGCTAGGGCCCTCCTATGATGAAGTAAAAGCTACTCCCTTGCATCTGTTTAATCATACGTACTCAAGTTCCCTAAACCAGACTATTCCCTCATGGTAATGCAATGTGTTATAGAAAGCATACTGGCCTGGATAATTTCCTGCTGTTCTTTGAGCCCCCTTCCCCCCCTCACATCTTTTAAATAGTGATGATGATACTTGATTTGTTTTAAATTAAAGGACTCAGTAATATATGTGAGAAGTATCATCCTGGTGATTGAGATATCAATGGAAAATTTAATTGGAATGAGAGACTAAATACCAAACTCTGAATCTTAGCTCCAGCACCAATTTACTATATGACTTTGAGGAAGCATCTTTCTACTGAGGGGCCGCAGTTCCCTGCCTCTTGAATACTGCTGTGAGACCCATGGGCTCTCTCATGCTTCTCTGTTTTTGAACTACAGAACTCTCTTGGCTTTCTTACACAGCTGAGTTGTACTTATAATAAAAAAAGATAGCACTTTCTGAAGCCTTTCTAGTCTGTTTCCCTGTCTCTTTCTCTATTCCCTATCCTTTCCACATTCATTACATTGATGCTTCTTGAGAGTAGTGACTGTCTTAAGTGTACCTCATCTTCCTCTTTATTTCTATCACTTAGCATATAGTTTGTTATGTAACAAATGAGTAAATGTTTAGTGAATTAAGTTTAGAAATGGAATAAATTACTATGAAGAAATAAAATCAAGGATATAAAACTTTTGGTTGTAGTCATGTGGTGTTGGCACCTGCCTTTAATCCCAGTACTCAGGAGGCAGAGACAAGCAGATCTTTGTGAGTTCAAGGCCAGCCTGGTCTACAAAGGGAGTTCCAGGACAGCCAGAACTGTTACATTGAGAAACCCTGTCTTGGGGGAAAAAAAAGAAAAAGGCAGGGGTTGGGGGAGTAAATAAAACTTTTGGTTGGGATTTATTGGGGGAAAGTTACTGGCCTGGTTAGTATGCTTTTGGGGAACTGAACACAGTTCTTTAAAACTTGTCAACTTTGGGGTTTAATAGAATCATGGGATCTCTTGTATGTCTTGATCTGGAACAAAATGATTCATGTCTCCTTTTCTTTCAAAGGGAGCATAGTGAGTGTGGGTGATCCTAAGAAGAAGTATACACGGTTTGAGAAGATTGGACAAGGGTTAGTAGGGGCGTTCTGTTTCCTTGGAGAAATGACTTAAAATTGTATGTACGGGTATATATGAATTTATTTGTTCTTTTTTTCTTTACTTTGCCTCACCTATCTGTTATATTAGAATGACTTCCAAGTTTTGTAGAATTATGCTTTATATGAAAGATGTGCTATTATCTGGCCATACCCCAGCAGCAAGAGTAAACAAATCACCTATTTTCTTAGCATAAAACCAGCTTCCCAAACTATAACTGATTTTCCATATTAACCCTGTTTGCCTTGAACTGAGACCTATCATCACTAATACGAAATTTATGACTCATATCTACAGACTTTCTAATAATGGGACCTGTTTTTCTAGGTGGATGACAGAATTTGTGACTTTTACTCTCTAGTTTCATCTCTACAACCCGCATGTTATCCTCTCAGTGTATTGAACTCAGCAAATCTTAACTGAGTTCTTGTTGTGTGTTGCAGAGTGTGAATATGGCTGTGAGTCAGGCACAGTCTCTGCCTTCAAGGATCTCAAGTCAGCTGGAGATATAAAGGCACAAAAGAATTATAATATAGAAGTCACCTTTCCTCTGGGAGGAGATCAAGTAGGACAAAGAAAGAGGGAATGTTGAGGCTGGAGAGATGGCTAAGTGATTAAGAGCACATGATACTCTTCCAGAGGACCTGGGTTCACTTCCCAGCAACCACATGACAGCTCACAACTGTCTGGAGCTCCAGTTCCAGGAGACCCAGCACCCATGGCAAAACATCAAAAAACAAACAAAACAAAAAAAACAACAACAAAAAAAATCCAGGATCTTTGAAAGGAAATGCTGCTAGAGGCTTAGTGGTGGTCATAGGTTACATACATATGTAAAAATCAAATTGTACACTCTATGACTTAGTGGTGGTCATAGGTTACATACATATGTAAAAATCAAATTGTACACCTATAACTTAATGCAGAAAAATTTAGGCAAATTATATCTTCTATATGAAAAAAATGAAATTTAAAAGAAACTGAAAAGATTAAGTTCGGTTCATAGTAGGCTCTCAATGGAACAAAGCATTGTTACTAATTAATTGAAATTTTTTTCTTAATTTTCTTAGGCTAACAGAAATTATGTGTTAGAGAATTGTAAAATATGGGTATGGGGTGATATTTTGCATATCATTTTGTAGTTTATATCTGTTATTTACATTGAGTTTTAGTTTATCCTCAAAGCAACTTTTGGCTAAGCAAATGTCACTTTTCCTGATTAAAGTGGCTTTCCCACTAGATATAATGCTTTTTGAGTCCAAATAGAAGATAGATTACATATTGAGAAGAAATTATTTTGCTTATCTCAATAATGTAGATGACATTTTTGTTTTTAGGTAATTAAATTGAGTTATTAAGGATGTAGAAAAAGGGGTACATGGGCAAATTTCAGCCAGTCGGATTCCTTCTCTGGGTTTGAGCTTTATCTATAAAGTTGGAGGATTGTAGATTAAGGGCATTTCTCCTCTGAAACATGCCTTAAAAAAATAGATGTGCAACATTTGTAGATGTTCTCTGCTTTATATCACAGGTGTTCTCTGCTTTATTTCACAGGTCTGTTAATGTTCTGTAATTAAAAAAAAAAATGCCACACCAGTTTGATGCTTTGGTTTAGTGTTCTTGTAATTTAGGCTAGCTTTGTTTTTAAGACCTAAAGACTGTTAAGCTGTCTGATCTTACATCTCTGATAGAAATAATGAAGTACTTACTACCTAGTCTGCTCATGTAACTTTCTAAAACTTTGTAAACATGGAAGATGTAGTCCCAAATATTTAGTCTCTGAGACTTGAATATATTTGCCCTTTAATGATGGTGTGTATATATATGGTAGCTGGAGAGAGGACTTGGTGGTTAAGAGTACTTTTTGTTCTTGCAGAAGACCTGGATTTGGTTCCTATCACCTACATGGTAGCTTACAACCATTCACAATTCCAGCTGCATGGAATCTCATTTCCACTTCTGACTTACCCAGGCACACACATGGTGCACATATGTAGGCAAAATACTTATACAGTTAAATTCTAAAAAATATTTTTTAAAAAGAATGGTGCAAATTGGCAGGAATACAGAGGGTCAGGAAGATAGACACACATTCTAATAAAGATCTCTAGGCAAGGATGGTTAGGCAGTGAAGAACTAGCTACCAGTGAATATCCAGTCTCATTTGATAGCCAATATCTTTTATTTTTTGTTTTAGAAACAATCTTATTTTACATATCAGTCCTCCCATTCTCTTGCCCTCCCATCTTCCCATGTCCCCCAACCTATCCCCCACCCACTCCCCAAGGACAGTGAGGCCCTCCACGGTGGGGGGGGGCAAAGTCCACCACATCATTTGGGGGAGGGCCTAGGCCCTCTTTTGTGTATCTGGGTTGCAATAGTATCCCTCCATAGGGAATGGGCTCCCAAAGTCCATGTGTGCTCTAAAGATAAACACTGGCTCCACTGTTAGAGGTTCCATAGCCTGTCTTGGCCTCCTAGCTGGCACCCACATTCAGAGGGCTTGGTTCAGTCCAATGCTGGTTCCCCAGGTTTACGACTAGGGTCTCCGTGCCCTCACTAGGTCAAGTCAACTGTTATTTCGAGTTTCTCTAGCATGGTCTTGGCTCCTTTGCTCATGCCTCCTCCCTCTCCACAACTGGATTCCAGATAGCCAGTATCTTATAATTACACTTTACATGCATGTAGCTAAGCTGTTAAGGAGTGGTGGTTAGTGAACTGGTGACCATAGTTTCTAGCTGAAGGCATATGTCCAGTAGTCTTTTCCTCTTGAATTAACATGACTTTTGTGGCAAGTATAATTTCAGGATTTGCTGGAAACATCTATATACATGCCATATGGTGTGTGTAATGTTATGTATAGCTACAAATATGTGTTGCAAATTACCTAGACATATACAGGATTTGTGATTTTAGGCATAAGATGGGGGTTTGGGTTATTTCATATAGATAGCATTATGTAGCATTATTCCCAGCATCTCTTTCCCTTACACCATCTCTTTGTTTGACTGTGTGTATAAATACCTACATGTTCATGTCTTTTGTTGAGCTGTTCTTACTTTGAGGATGAGGTAGAAATAATCTCAGATTTTCTGGAAGTACATATATTTGGAAACGTATGTGCAGTATCATATTTTTGAAAAAAAAAAAACCTAAAAATGCATTTCATTTAACGAAACCCTTTTGATTAGTTGTGATTGAAAAGTATGATTTTAAAGTGTCAAGGTATCCTATAATTAGGAAGGTAAGGATATTTCAGTGTGGGTTGACCAAGTTTTCGTAGTTTATTAAAATTAGTTATACTTTTTAGGGATTAACTGTGGAATAGAATCTTTTTTTCTTTTCTTTTTCTTTTTTTTTTTTTTTTGGATGTTGAACCATTCTTGCATCCCTGGGATGAAGCCTACTTGATCATAGTGGATGATTTTTCTGATGTGTTCTTGAATTCAATTCGCCAATAATTTTTTTATCATTTTTTATTTGAATTACAAACAAGATTGAATTACATGACAATCCCAGTTCCCTTCTTCCCCCCTTCCTCCCCTACCGCCCCCCAACTAAAACTCTACTTATCACATATCCTTTCTTCTAATCTACACCTGACTCAACCTTTCTGCTCCCTCATGACCTCTGCATCCTTCTTCTTCTTCCCTTCTCATTCTTGTAGCTCCCTATCCCCCTCTTCCCATGTTCTCAATTTGCTTAGGGGATCGTGACCCTTTCCCCTTCTCCAGGGGACGTAGTTTGTCTCTTTTAGGGTCCTCCTTGTTTACTAGTTTCTCTGGAAGTGTGGATTGTAGGTTGGTAATCCTTTACGCTATGTCTAAAATCCACATATGAGTGAGTACATATCATGTGTGTCTTTTTGTGATTTGGTTACCGCGCTCAGAATGGTTTCTTTGAGTTCCATCCATTTTCCTGCAAATTTCAAGATTCCATTGTTTTTTTCTGCTGAGTAGTACTCCATTGTGTAAATGTACCACATTTTCTCTATCCATTCTTTGGTTGAGGGGCATCTAGGCTGCTTCCAGTTTCTGGCTATTACAAATAGTACTGCTGTGAACATCGTTGAACAGATGTCTTTGTTGTGTGAATGTGCTATGAAATAGAATCTTAAAAGCTGAATGTCAATCCTTGCAGCCCTTTGCTACCACTTTCTTTTAGGGTCTTGCCCATCCTCCTCCCTTGACTTACTTAGTTACAATATTATAGGAAGATGCCACCAAAACAGGCTCTAGTTGTAGCTTTTAATGAAAATTTTAATTAAAAATAACACACATAAGTATATTGATGAATGAATTTTCAAAAAGTAAATACATGAATGTAAGCTGCATCTATGTCAATAAAGAGAACATTACTCTAAAAGTCCATATTTTAATAAATATATATGAGCCATCTCTCCCACCTCATTCTGCAATTCTCCTTGGTCTCCCTTTCCCATCTCCTCACTCCCAGTTGAAAGTACAAGAAATGAAAGCAAGTTCTCAAAGGTAGCAGAGAAGAGGAGGACAAGCAGGTGTCAGAAACGAATGTCTTTGAACACGTTTGCATTTTATGGACTTGGTCTAGTGCTTCACAAGAACTAAACTCTTGAAATATATGTATAAGTAAAGCTCAGCGTCATAAGTTGCTTAAGATCAGACAGAGTAGAAGTTCTAGATTGGTTAAGGCCTTCATTCTTTACTACCACACACTGCCAATCAAAAGTGAAAGTGGGAGTGTTGCAGAGGGAGGATTTGTCTTTGCTGTTTTTGTTAACGTATTTCCAGGTTGTGTGTAAAGCTGCATAGACAAATACTATATCACTTAACACCTGTGTTTATTTTCCTCTCTTATCTTTTTTTCAGTGCTTCAGGCACAGTGTATACTGCAATGGATGTAGCCACAGGACAGGAGGTAAGTATTCATCACCAACTCTTGTACTTCTATTCCTACAGTATTTGTTTTTAATTTAATTTGGAGTTAATTTTATCCTCCCTCCCTCCCTCTCCCCCCCCCTCTTTCTCTCTCTTTCTGGCTCAGTGGGACATTTCTAGTTTCTTTATGTACCAGGCTAGGCTCAAGTAGGAGACTAATATGAGACTTAAAACTTTTGCTAAAGCTATGAAAGATTGAGAGCAGGTCAGAGGAGGAAGAATGGGCCATGTAACTCCAGGTGAGAGATGATGTTGTAGAAGTAAGTAGATTTAAGAAATAGCAGGTAACTTGATAGTACTTAGTGATAATCGAATGTGAGGATAACTTCCAGGTGGGTAATACTGTTCAAGGAGAAAGAATAAAGTCAGAGGTATAAGTATAAAGAAAGTGGATTTTGCCTGAGAGAGCTTGCTGAACTGCCTACCCATAGGAGATTTAAACCCATGCTGTCAGCTTCTAATCTAGTAACGCCCAACTTTATGCTTCAGATCCCACTGGACATTGGAGTCCTTGCTTATTTGGAGGTACCTCTTTGTCCTTATTTTATTAAGCCATGAGAGTGCTGACCTTATTGATAAAGCCCACTGACCCAAGATCAGCAAAAGGAATCCATGAAGGGAATATCAAGTAATTGGAGGTTCCTTGTAGACTCCCCTTGGTTGGCTACAAAACAGAAATGCTGACAGGTGGGTTGTGGTTAGTAGCTGCCTGGGAGAAATTCTTAGTTAAAAGAGCATTGGAACCCAGAAACTGAGAGAGGAACCTCTTTTTTGAATGAAAATAAAGTTTGTTTTGTGAGAGAGAGAGAGAGAGAGAGAGAGAGAGAGGTTTGTGTGAATCTACTTGTATATTTTTGATTATCAAAATCTGGTATCCTGGAGGGACAACTGTGTGAGAATAAGTTAATTTTTTAAAATCACCAGTATAGGGACTGAAGAGATGGCTTAGTAGTTAAAAGCACTTGCTGTTTTTGTAAAAGACTTAAGTTCAGTTCCCAACAACCTAGGTTAGATGGCTTAAAACAGCCTATACTTCTATCTCTAGGGGATCCAACACCCTCCTCCAGCCTCAGCAAGCAGTACACTCATGTACACAAACCCACATGCAAACACAAACATAATACACATAAGTAAAAATCTCAAAAAATAAATAAAATCATTATTATAGGTAAGAATTAATTGAGAATGTAAAGACATGAATGCTTGCCTGAAGTTACTGCTGTTACCTTGGGTGAACCATTTTACCTTTTTCTGCCCAAATGATCAGAGTTAGAATTAAATCCTGTGTATTTTGGGCTGCAGAGTCATAGCAGAGCCTCTTACCATGTTTCTGGTCTCTTAGGCCTTGTAACCCTTGATGGGAGACAGATGGGTGATGATTGGTTCCTGGAAGTTCTGGAGATGTCTGTATGAGAAGCAGGCCACAGGAAAGAGAAACTTGATATTGCTGTGTGCTTGTCTTGTGGTTAAAAAACTATGAATGGAAACAAATCCATTAGATTGGCTAATGCAGTGTGGTCAGGAAGGCCTCATTTCCTGTCCAAGGGAGTATAAATCTGTAGCATGACTAGAGTGATACTCTTAGTCTTTGTGAATGATTATGGGGGTATTATCCAGCTTGATGAGGGAAGCTTTTGTCTGTCACATATAGATAGGTTAGTGTTAGTGCTGGGCAATATTCCCATTACAAATCAGTCATTTTTCAAGCTTGTGTATAATAGAAAGAACATACTAGAAGAGCTTTGATTATAATTGTAGGTGGTTTTCTTACATGTCTTAGCTTCCGTGTCTGTACCTAAAAATGCACATTACTGTGCATTACTGTGAAGGGTTGTTAGGATTGGCTTGGATAAGGTAAGAACAGGAAGCACAATAATGATTCTTGCTGTTCTGTGCTGGGTAGTTATCAGATGTGTGACTACTATGATTTCATGTTCATTGCTGGCTTCCTTTATTACTTAAATCTTTTATTTACATGTGAGTGACATGTCAATTTTTAATACTCAAAATATATTTTGAGTAGGTCAATCATGGTTAGGTTATTATTTTCAATATATTTATAAAGAGATTTAGGTTCATAAAACTGATGATTAGTCAAGTTCATAAATTGTCATTCAAATCTAAAGCTTAGATCTTTAGGTTCAAGTCCAGTTTTTTTTTTTCTTTAATAGGAGTGGTATTGCTGTCCTGGATGGACAGACATTTAGCCAGAACTCTAAAGCCCGTCAGTAGTGACTAAAGGGGACTCTTAGTGTCTTACCCTAGCTTCTGCTTGCCTTCTCCCTTGCTGCTGCTTCTGATGTCCCCTGGGAGGTTCGCAGGCACTAGCTCATCCTCCAGGCTGGCCTCAGGAGCTCCAAAGGGACTCTTAAGGCCCCAGTCCAACTTGTAAAGGCTTACTTAATATCTACAGTAGATTAATGTGGCACTTTTCAGCTATTAGGAAAAGGTACTCCTCATCTATTATAGAAAGATGCATTGAGGCCTAAGGCCTGACCCGCTATGAACCCCATTTCCAAACAATTCATTTAGAGTTAGAGATGGAATGGTTGATTTTTTTTTTAATTATACTTACCTATGTGTAGGAGAGAAAGAATGTGAGTGGTGGGAAGAATGCATGCACATGACCATGCTGACCATGCCCATCATGGCACATGTGAGGGAGTTCTTTCCTTCTGTCATGTGGGTCCCAGGAAATCAAACTTAGGATGCTGGGTTTGGCTGCAAGAACCTTCATCCACTGACCCATCTTGATGGCCCATAAGAATAATTTTTATTCTTAGTAATTAACTGAGCTTCTTCAGAAGACTGTATTGACTTGAGGTAATATTTGACTTCGAAATGCTTGCATCGCCCGGCGGTGGTGACGCACACCTTTAATCCCAGCACTCAGGAGGCAGAGGCAGGTGAATCTCTGTGAGTTCGAGACCAGCCTGGTCTACAAGAGCTAGTTCCAGGACAGCCTCCAAAGCCACAGAGAAATCCTGTCTCGAAAAAACCAAAAAAACAAAAACAACAACAACAAAAACATGCTTGCATCATTTAAAAAAATTTTACTTATTTTTATGTGTATAGGTGCATGTATGTCCTTGTGTATGCCAAAGGAAGTCAGAAGAAGGTACTGCATCCTTTGAAACTGGGGCTAGACTAGCTGCCATGTGGCTGCTGGGAACTGAATTGGATATTCAGTGCTTAACCCCTGAGCCAATACTCCAGCCTGCATCTTTCATTCTTATTGCTGCTTGTAGAGAGAAGTCCTATTAGATGTCCACATTCTTGTCCACTAAGCAAGAAAAAGAGAGACTGTCTTTAGGGAATAAATATTTAGCAAATAGTGTAACCATATGGGATGTAGTAGTGGTGTGAATGTGCGTGCGTGCGTGTGTGTGTGTGTGTGTGTGTGTGTGTTTTCAAAACAAACAACTTATCAACTTACTGGTTCTCTTTCTCTTTAAGCACCAGCTATATTTGTTGAGCTTGACATTGGGGTTTTGAGGCTTTTAGTAAAGCTCTGAAATGTCTAGATGCATTCATGCACACACATACATAACTGATTCTTCATATAAAGTAGCAGGAATAGCATGATCTTACAGGGCTTTCCAAAAAGGGGGAAACACAAACAAACATAAGTTTGAGAATGAAGTTTCTTTTGCCATGATACAAAGCTTTTAAATGTGTAAAAGTGATACAGTCTATTCCAGACAGAGGTGATATTAAACAAAGACACGGAGAACATGGAACATGTAGTAGAGTACATGGGAAGTAACACTGAGAAACTTGACTGTCAAGCTGAGGAATAAGAGAGTTATCCAGTGTGTATGGGTCTGGGGAACTAGTCTATATTAGGATAAATTAAAATAGGGGTGTGTGTGTGTGTGTGTGTGTGTGTGTGTGTGTGTGTGTGTGAACATGCCTTAGTACATGTGTATGAGTGAGTCAGAGGAAAACTTGGTAGAGTTGTTTCTTTCCATCTACTAAATGGATCCCATTACCTGCTGACCTGTGTCACTGACCCAAATGAAATAGCTTTTGAAGGTACTATTTCTGATTTTACTACTGAACTGCCGTGCATGCAAGTCACATATCCTCTCTGAATCACAATTTCCTCATTTGTTGAAAAGTTATATACAAGATACCTCAGAGAATTAAATGAGATAGCAAATTGGGCTAGGTGTGGTGGCACAGGCGTTTAAGTCCAGCAGTTGGGAGAGTTTGAGGCCAGCCTGGTATGCATAGTAAGTTCTAGGCAAGGCAGAGTCAGGTCAGGACAATATAGTGAGACCCTGTCTCAAAAAAAAAAAAGAAAAGAAAAGAAAAGAAAAAAGGAAGGAAGGAAAGAAAACGAATTTGTGAACAATTTAGAAGAGTACCTAATACCTAAAAATCTAATGT